TCTTTCATTCTTCTAAGCAGATTTCAAGTCAAAATATCTTAAAACAAATTCAGCGATGTCATTTAATATACAGATAAATAATAAACAACTCAGTAGGCTACAACACGCGATGGTACAGAGTTTCTTCCAAACAGGGCCAAATAGCACAGCAGTTGCCAGAGTTACATTTTTAAACTGTAACTGGACATGGGTTTAAGCAACGTTAATACCTACAGCCATGCTCCCGGAAAACCTCCACACTGTTCATAGAATCTAAGAGTGTTACACACAAATTGCTTCATGAACAAAAAAAGCCAACGCACTTATACCTACTTGAAAGCAATGAGGAGAATCCTTACGTAGCATTTCGGTGCTTATTTCTCAGTAGAAAAAGCCCTCTTCATCAACGGTGGGGGCGCTTTTCCAACGTCAAACATCATTTCCAGTGGAGGGTTATTAAGACAGCACCAGTCAGGTATGCGGCCTGTCTGGCTGTAATATTCTTTGGACACAGACCGGCTCCCAAGTATGTCCTGAAGCGCTCCAAAAATGGCTCCTACAGGATTGGTGGGGAAAAGGTTGCACTAACTTGTTGTACTGAATTTATTTTTCTATCTCTTCCCATCAAGAACCTCAGCTTTTTTTTTCCCCCCCTATTCTGTCCCAAAAATTAAAGGAATGAAAGGACTTAGCCGTTTTCCTTCTCAGCAGCCCAGCTAGTCCCAAATTACGTCCGTTTCTGGTGCCACCGTAAGGCGCTAGCCCTGTACTGCACTTGAGTCATACGCCCCATCTTCCACAGCGCCGATTCAAATTTCCTGTCACCCCTTTAAAGCTCCTGCACCCTGCAGTGCCATTCTGCCCTCTAAATGTCCCTGAGGGAGATTTACTCCACAGGATTTCTTCCAGGACAACATAACAATTCCACAGAAATCCAACCAAGCTTAATTTCAATAGTTTGCCTAAGTTTTACTGCTATTTATTCATTACAAATCCCACTTGGAAACTTTGTTTTCCTGCTCCGTATCTTTGCTTAACAACTGTTTTCATTCTTACCTCCCAGCCACGCCACGCAGTTGGGTTTGGCAGGTGGAGTGTGAATTCTGAAGGTTTTCGTGGTGAGAGCTTCTCTGTATTTCGATTTCTCTACCAGGTATCTGATTTCAGCCATGAGCCTGTGAAGGAATCCTGGCAACATCGCAGTGCCACCAATAACTACCAAGTTGTCTGCCAACTGCTTCCTGGTGTCTATGGGACACTAATGGAAACAAGAATAATAAAAAACCCACCAACGCTTTAACTAAAGGTGCACGAACAAACATTCAAAGGTCTGTTAGAAATTCAGTCTTTCTACACACGGCAGTTGCTGTGGTCCTCTTGTCCAGAGGAAGTACCTGGACACTATTTCATGCTTGTCAATTTTACATTTGTCTTTTCCCTGACCAAAGAGCGATGCAAGGTAAATGCCTACAGGTACAGAGGGGATGGATCCAGGCCGAGACCTTGTTGAACAGGCTGTTTGCATAAGGAGTTCTAATGGAAATGTGTGTCGTGTCACCCAAGCCTCTGGCTCTCCAGTAAGTCATGTCTCAGCAAACTAATTTAAATGGCATGAATAGCTACAGGAAGTCAACCTTAATTAACATACATATGCCACCACATAATGAAAATTTCCATTTATAGTGGGTTTCTAGTGCTTTTTTTTTCCTAAATATAATAAGAAATTGTTTGTATATGCCAAGAAATTTTTCAGCATTTAATATACTGCCTGTAATAGGGATGTCCAAATTAATTTTATTCTATTTTAGGGAAATCAGCAACCTGCACAACTCAAAGTCTTAACTCTGAGCAAAACACCTTGACAAAAGAAGAAACCGAAAACCTGCTTCGTTCCAGTGTAAGCAGCACAGCTCCTACACCCCCAAGTATTAGGTACTCCTTTGCCATTACACACGTAGAGCCTCACCCCCAAATAAGCACAAGCTGGTTTGTTACCTTTGCTGAGGGGTGAGCGCCACGTTCCTGAGAAAACCCTCCTAGACACAGGGTATACCAAAGGGTAAGAAAACAAGCACAGGGCCGTGAGACACGGTGACGTACTACCTCGCAAAATCTCAGCGCGGGGCAGAACCCCAGGAGTCATGCTGCGCTCAGCTTTTTCAACGGATGGCAACCTGCAGCCAGAAGGGACTCTAGAGGGAGTCACTTGGATCACCTGTAACAGCAGGTTCCCTCAGGCTGGAGGCATTCAATAAACTGTGTCTAATATAAACACACCTGAATGAGTGAATCCAAGATCAAAGTGGCAACAGACGTCTCTTCATTATCCTGTTCAAACAGTATTTCGACAACAGAGTCTCTGTTGAAAAGCAAGGAAATGGGTGTTAATGAGCAGCAACACCACAGGAACAGCAGAGCTGGAAGTGACCAGCCTTCCCTGCTGCTGCTTCCGTCATACCCTCGGTGCACACAACGGGGAGGAGGCACTGACCCGCTCACTTCACGAAACCTGTCTCACCGTCATGTATTAATGCTCCATTTCTGTTCCCCCACCCCTCCAAGCCATTTGCTCTCATCTTACACCCGGAGCTCTCTGGAGAAGCCGACACTCTCATTAGGGGCTTGAACTGTGCCCAGCACAAACCCTTACTTCGAGAGACATTAAAAGCAGATGCATTTCATTAAAATTCAATTCTGTGAACATGCATGTGCTTTCAGAGTTGAACTTCTATCCTCCTGAAGATAAACATTCTGCTATGGTATTTCTCACCTGACGGGGCCAACTACATGGAGAATCTTTTCTCCGTCTAACGGATAGTCCACGTCCGGAGGCGGTGAAGGCCGCTAGAAATGAAAAGGTACCTGCATTATGCCAGAGGCCAAAAAAGAGTGCATCCACTTCAAAAGGCTAGGATAAACTACATCCTCCACCCACCTCAGCACTGCCATCCATGTTGAACTTGGCTGCTTGGATTTTCAGTCCACGTTGGAGATCACTCACAAAACATGTGCGGACTTCATAAAAGAAAAGAAAGGGGCAGAAGAGAGACTTTGTTGGAGCCTTCATCACCCATAAGGACAGTAATTCTGCTCAATTCAGAGAAGAACACACACTTTGGGCCCTTGCTGGTCCAAGGCATTATCAAACAAATGCAAAGAAAAATGGTCTCTGCACTTCAGCAGAGTTCAGGTGCTGTCTAGAGCACGAGTTTACATGGAGCTGACACCAGCGACGTGACATTTAAAGACAGAGGGACGCTGCTAATTGTGCCTTCGGTGACCAAAGGCGCCAGGCCTTGTATTCAAACACGCCATTGCGAGTCTTGCACCACGGCGCCAAATGAGAGACTGCTCACTTTCTAAACAAGCATGTAGTATTTTTCCTAGTGCAACTCTTCAGCTCTCTAAGGATTCCAGAGGGTTTTTTTTTTTCCCAGGCAACACTGGCAGAGCACAGTTTCATTTGCATCCCAGCTGTCTGTTCTTATATACCTACTCATTTGTGCCAGATACAAATAAGTATCTTCTTCATAAATGGCTCTCACAAAGAAATAATTTCAACCCTAGCATATATCTCGTTCCAAAAGAATGCATAAAAACCTGATCAGAAAACTGTGTTCACGTCCAGGAATTAGAAAAGCACATTTGACTGATGGGTTTCTTCCTAATCTGCCCAAGAGATAGATACTAGTTGCTACTTTCTACGATTATAAAAATCCTAGAATGGTTTGGGTTGGAAGGGACCTTAAAGACCATCTAGTTCCAACGCCCCTGCCATGGGCAGGGACACCTTCCACTAGACCAGGTTGCTCAAAGCCTCATCCAGCCTGGCCTTGGACACTTCCAGGGATGGGGCATCCACAGCTTCTCTGGGCAACCTGTCCCAATGCCTCCCCACCCTCTGCGGGAAGGATTTTTTTTCCTTACATCTAAGAAATATATATATAATATATGAAGAAATATGATAAACAGAGAAGATAAACCAAGTTCTTAAATGCAAATATTGCACACTTGTTATTGTCGTACTCTACTGCACATTTCAATAAACAGAGTTTCACCAGCAGAAAATTTTACCTTTTATATCCTCTACGATGTCTTCTGGAACTGAGCCTGAAAGAAAAAAAATAACTTAGAACAAGACCTTTTTAATTAGAAAGAGAATTTAAGAGCGAAACAGTCTAATGTACTAAATGTAAACCAAAGCTTCACTTTGACAGCAGCTTTTAAAAATTTTTAAGGAAGAACAAATATTAGAACAGACTGAAAAATTGCTACAGGCATTTTATCTCAGCCTTCATTCACACCTGCTGTTATGAGTGGCTTCATAATCATAAAAGATAATATACTTGCTTCATACTGAGAAAGAAGTCGTGCAAGTAGATCACACAAGCTACAGTGTGACGAAACTCCTTTTATTCACTGCTAGTATTAATCCACTTTCCCCAGTGCACCTTCACGGCATATATGCCCCCTTCAAACAGACCTTACCTATCACAGACGGAAGGCTTTGTCCCTTGGCTAAGCCTGTATCAACTGTGCACTGCTCCAGCAACTGGTATTCCAGCTCTCTAAAATATTAGACATCAAGTTAGTTAAAGACAGCTCTTAACTCAGGCTGACTCTCTGTATCGTGCTGAAGGGACAGCTTTTATTCCCTTCAGTCACGTTCTTCTAACTACAAGCTGAACCAGATCTGATTTCCACAGCTTCTACCGCATCAGCAAAAGCCAAACGGTGGCAACGTCACAAATCGGACGCTGCCGCAGCAACAGTTACGAGTTAAGTCGTGTTCAATAGGAATCTTTGGTCATTAGTCAAAGACAAACTTCCACAACCAACTCACCAGTACCTTGGAATGTGTGACTGTGAACTTACTTGTGGATAGCCTTTCCTCCCAGAGGAAGAGAACCCCAGCAGCTCAGAATCGGAATTCCCTCGTATATCTACACGAAGGTCAGGAAATTCTCCGGTTTTGTTTTGAGGTTTCACTCTGGGAACTGAACACTTTTTCCCCTCGACATTCTCTCGCATCAGCTACGGGACACACTTTCTAACTGCTTTTCCCCCAAACTGGTTTCTAGTGCAGAGGGGCTGAAGTGAAGAACCACCCTCCCCAAGTTTCGAGGGCACACCGATTTGGCATGTCAGAACTCCCTAGGACAGGGTATTTGTAGTCAACAGCCAGGCCATGCTGTTCCATCACTTTCTGGCACACCTGAAGTCTATAAATCACCACCTTGCCACCACAGCCCCACTGTGTTTTGCAAAAGGATACAGGCAGCACCAAGCTTTCTGCATATCCACAGTCCAGCACCATGGCAGAATTGATCCCAAGTGTCAGCAAAGACATTAGATGACTCGGAGCAAACAAAACAGAAGGTACCTACATGGAAACCACAAGTACAATTCACAGAAGGGGGGAGGGAGAAACAAACCACCCAGAGACCCGAAGCACTGATGCTTTCCCTGTATGTCATATTAAAAGCAAAACCCAAACAACAGTATGTAGAGGTACCCACTTTTAATTTACTTTTTAAGGCAGTGCAGTAACAAACAAAATACAACAGGATTCTAAATTTGTGGTACACACCAGTGACTTCAGCAATAATGAGTCTTGGGATGGGCTTGCAAGAAAAGCAAGCGTTCACTACAGAACTCAGCTGAAGTCACAGGCCAGGTTTCTTACTGTCACTGAAGAGAAATTAAAGGAGGGAGGGGGAATCGTCTCAAGCTGTGCCAGGGGAGGTTTAGATTGGACGTAAGGAAGAAGTTCTTCACCGAAAGGGTTATCACGCACTGGAACAGGCTGCCCAGGGAGGTGGTGGAGTCACCATCCCTGGATGTGTTTAAGAGACGGGTGGATGAGGTGCTGAGAGATATGGTTTAGTGGCGGACAGATACGGTTGGACTGGATGATCTCTAAGGTCTTTTCCAACCCAGTGATTCTATGAACTAAAACCACAGCTACTTGAAATCAGTATGAAGGCTGGAAGATGTGAAGAAAGGTGCCAGAAAACCCGTGACAGTGTGCCTGTGACAACACACTTGCATACAGCTTCACAGCAGAGGCTACTTAAAACAGTATCCCCAAAGTAATATGGAAACTCAAGTCAAATTTACACAAAAATTACTTCCTTTTCCCAGAATTCCATAAATTAAGTCTCCTATATAGCAACAGTGCTTTAATGCAACACCTTGAAGTGTGAATTAAATGAGCAATTTCAGTAAATCTGTGTTTAAGGGCAACGTTCCTGATGCTTAGCCCAGAACACAAGTTGCAATACTGGCCCCGTATTAACACGTCACTTTTACTCTCTGCACCAAAGGGAAACCCAGGCCAGAGAGAATCAACTTCACACCAGGATTAGCTGGCTTCTTAGCAAGTTATAAAGTCTCTCCATCAAAGTATGGAGAGTCCCGAGTCGTTTTCAATAAGCAATTTTGCATGGGAGTGCTTTATCTGAGACACGTTTTTTTTTTTTCCTGTAAAGGGATTAGGGGAAAAAAACCCAAATCACTCAAATCTTTCAGCAATTTCATGTTGTCTGAAAACTTTATCAATAGCAGGAGAGGATTATGCAGAAGTTTAGCTGGCAAACTGTGCTCTGGAAGCACAGTGAAGAAGTACTGCAGGCAAACTAGTTTCACCATTCTTACAGAAGAACCTTAACCCTTCCTCTGTCTGAATGGAGGAAGTATGGAATCACCTTCCAAACCATTTTCCATTAGAACAAAGCGAGAATTAGGTTCAGACTTTTCTCCAAAAAGACTGATTAAGCAGAGGAGATAATGGATTTCAAGTAAGCTCTTACCTAAGTGAGTACAGCCAGATGCTACATCACATGCTAGACAAAGACAAGGACTCTGGCAGAAGCCCTGAGATTTGCTGACAGAGCACTAAAAAGTGTTTAAATACAAATTCTGGCTCCTGGCAGAGCTCAGGACCTGTCTGGAATAGAGCGATGTGAGCTGCATTTTCGCAGAAGCCAGAGAAACCTCTCAGATTCTTGTTAACCACTCCTGTTTTGTGGCTTTGTGAACAGGCAGATGGAACAAAAACGGCCTTCAGTCCAATCTCCAAGCCCTACCTCCCCAGACGACCACCAGCTTTTCCTCATCTTCTTTATGCCCCTCATCAGTTTGGTGTTATTTTCACCTCTTTGTCAACATCCGGCCATGACTCGAAACACCATCGCTACCGGCAGGCGTTACGCGGAGCAGGTACGGGGGTTATGCAAAACACGTACCTCAAAGTGGTTGAAAAGGACTCTCGTGAGCGTGTCTCTGAAGCGCGACGGGCACAAGACAGACTCTATGATCACAACACGGCGGTCTCTGGGATTCACCAACAGATGTCTAAAAGAGGAGAGACGTGTAAAACAACACTGGTTACGTCTGAGCACGTATTGCGAGAGGTACCTTATTTTCCTATTCCATTCTCCTCAAAAATCATTAAAACTTGCATTTAGCCAGCATTTTCTACAGCAGCTCCCAAAGTCTTTTTCCAAGTTAAAAAAAAACGCCAACACTTCCCTCAAAAAAAGGAAGTGAGGAAAGTGAGTTACAGAAAACCAGTTGCAGAGTTTTCTGCCATCAGGATGCAGTTCTGAGTGTCTGCTCCACCTTCCTATACCAGTATAAAGAGATACAGAAATAGGCACACAGGATGGCTTGTCCACTGTCATACAGTGTGTCCAGAAGAGAGGAAGAATGACAGTACGGATGTCCTGATTCCAGTGGAAGAGGATGGAATTCTCCTGATTTCCATTACAAAGCGATGATGGAAGACAGGAAAAAAACCCACCCGCCCACACCAGAAGATCTGAGGCACAGAAATCACGAACTGGTTTCCCTGTGTCAAGCCATGATTTTCACTGTGAAAAATAAGGAATGGAAATAAAGAGACAATGTCCAACTTCACTGTTCACTAATGGTACTAAAAACACAATAAAAGAGATGTATTACCGAGGTAAAAATATTCCACATGTTAAGATTCCTCCTTCCAAACCACTGTCATGGGGAGAGAGCTCTGCACCAATGCAAGATGAGCTTCAGCCCTACTGAAATCAGCCTAACTTCTCAGGTAACGGCCTTCCCCTGTCAAGTCCTTTATACGTGCCACAGCAAACGGCAACTTACCAAACACTTCTTATTTCTAGAGAGAAACTGAAGCTGCAGGACACTAACTCTGTGTAATATAACCTGAATCTGAGCACCACCGAATTTCTCCTGCAAGAACACAGATGGGCAGCCACCTGCGAAATCGTGTTTCTGTTTTCTTACTCAACTAGCCGGCAGTCTTCAGGCACACTTCTAACACCTCTCCACGTACTCAGAGAAGAGCCGCAGAAGGCTGCAGCAACATCCAAGTACCTCTTACCTGAAATACAGCACATGGATAAATTCCTTCAGATATGAATATAGCTCTTCTGTATTAATATTATACTGAACAACTTTGACAGGCTGCAAAGTAAAAATAACCACAGTCAGCTTAAATACCAGGTAGTGATTATATAGAAATATATACATTAGACATACATATATGATAGTATATTATATCTGAACATATATGCCACGACACATATAAAGAAATACTCACTCTTGCATGATTTGCTCTATGCCCTTAACAATGCATCTCATACACTCACCCTATAACATACTCCAGTTTATTCATGCCAACTTTTTGTACCAGTAACTTATCTCAACATCAGCTTCCAAAGCTGCCATCCTCTACTAAAAGGACAAAAAAAAAGCATAGCTAGGCAAAGAAAGTTCTCAGTAAATGCTCCAAACATAAGCTGCATGGGCGATGAGTACCAGCTAACAGCAGCACTGGTATCACACTTACTTGTCAAGTATCTAGTTACAATCTTTTCATAGCAGCAGTTGTACTGAAAAATACCTTACGGTGGGCAGAAAAAGGAGCTGCAGGTTCTTTCTATACCATGACATACAAAACCTTAAAAAGGTAAAACAGTTCAAGCAAAATAGTTTACCTTTGCGACATCAGGTTTCTTTATTTCACTAGGAATAATGCATCTTGGTCCTGTTTCTCCTGCAAAACCACACCTAAAAGAAAATGTTGAAAACCTTATCATTTGAAGTCTCTGCTTAACATACTGGGCCTAGGAATCACCAGAAAGCAATTAATTTGGGATGTTTTTGTGACTGCAAAGAGGTGTTTTGCACACAGCTGTTCTATCTAGCCATTCTGAATGAGACAGTTTTCATATCTTTTTATTGATTCACTCCCACTGCATTAAACAAGACAAGTTTTCTTCACTCCCACAAGGACTGTCAGGCTCAGTTCTGATGTTCCTCCTACTTTCCACTGAGCAGTTTTCTGTTTATAATCATCCACTGACAACCTTCCCTACTGCCCATTGAATTTCCAAAGAAATACCTTCCTGTATCCTCCATACAGGCCCACAGTTTTCACTGAAGCTCCCAGTAAACAGAGGCAACATTCTGTTATCGCGCCTTCTCCAAACCCTCGTTGTCTGTGACGTTCACTTGGAAGAAAAGGCAAAAACGTGATGCTCACAATCACGCAGGTCCGGTGGCCTATTCTACCACTGACCAGCAACATTCCACGGACACGTTTTTCCTATGTTACTATGCCAGGCCTCCTGCCAAAACATGAGGGCTCTGCATCCAACTGCGATGCAATGCAACAAACGTTAAAAAACCCCAAAACAAACTTCTCAGAAACTGGTCCGGTTTTCACAAAGCGACTGCAGCTTCAGACACAAGAACTGTGGGCTCAAGCAGGAAAATTAAAACCAAAAGAAATTCAAGATTTGATTTGAAGAAGTGCAGTGCCTGCTGTTTCACCACTGCCGCCCTCACTAAGTACAAATATCAGAAGAAAATTATGGTAGAAAACACCAACAGAAAACTGTAAAGCTGCCAGACTTCAAGTACTTTCAGTGCAAAAGGTCAATTAATACTTTACTTTGGTATTTGGCAACAGTGAATGTGTTTCTTCAGATCATTTCAGGAAAAAATAAGCTTCAACCAGACATAATTCCCCATTTAATTTTTCTCTTTGCTCCCCCAAAGACAGACTCATGCGGCCACAGCGTGTATACGCAGTTGTCTCGGCCTGTGACCCTGACAACTTTTGAACCTTCGGTTGATTTCAGCCTTATCTGTAGAAGGGCAGATGTCCCCCATACAACGAGGCTGCTGTTTCTTCTACATGACTGAAGGCTGCAAACAGACCCTAAACCAACACAATTCAGGGAAAACGCTTCGGCATAAGAGCATTTGATTAGATAACTCAGGCCCAGGGGATAAAACCTCTCAAGTGTCCCACATTTGGGAAAGGCCTGCGATTGGTGACACGACACGAATCCCCAAGAAGCCACTCGTGGAATCACTGGTGTCTGTCCCTGAAGGCCTAGTTAAATCCTCTCCACAACCACACTGCAGCAATTTCCAGGCAACGAAGCCTGCCTGCTGGTCTGCAATTCCACTCGCTTGAAAAAAAGCAAGTACAACATAGCACAAACCCAGCTTGGGACAGGAAACCCTGTTCCTGTGACTCCTGCCTCCTGCAACAAGCAGAGACATCCTCAGGGTTTCAAGCAAGTAAATTTATCCACCCAGACACAGCCGCAGGTGGGGGCCTAGCTCAGACAGTGGGATGGAGCGTTCCCTCAGCAAGTTTGCTGACGACACCAAGCTGTGTGGCGCAGTGACACGCTGGCAGGAAGGGATGCCATCCAGAGGGACCTGGACAGGCTGGAGAGGTGGGCCACTGCCAACCTCATGGAGTTCAACAAGACCAAGTGCAAGGTCCTGCACCTGGGTCGGGGCAATCCCAAGCACAAGTACAGGCTGGGTGGGGAATGGATCGAGAGCAGCCCTGAGGAGAAGGACTTGGGGGTACTGGGGGATGAAAAGCTGAACGTGAGCCGGCCGTGTGCAATGGCAGCCCAGAAAGCCAACCGTATCCTGGGCTGTATCCAGAGAAGTGTGGCCAGCAGGGCGAGGGAGGGGATTCTGCCCCTGTACTCTGCTCTGGTGAG